CAAACCTAACCCTCCATGGACTTGCTATAGGAAGGAAAAATAGAAATAATTTAATCTCCTGAAGGTCCCAGGCTCAACCAGATAGTCTCTGCTTCCTCTGTCTTTGAGTTATATTTTAATCTTAGGATCTATCTCTGGTCAACATGGTACTTTGTTGGAAACATGGTAGTGGTACCAAACTGATCTCTTTATGTTCTTTCTCCTGTAACATTCTCTTTCCTCTGCTCCATTCCTCCATGGGCCCTGGAAGGAAGCTCTGTTCTCTGTGTGCTTCTGTGAGGATGACAAGAGGCTCTCCCTTGATTCTGGGTTCATTCAAGCCTCAGTGTGGTTTTCCTTCCCAGTTTCCCGAGTCCCCAGAGTTAGTCAAGGATAACTAGTGTTCCCGAGAGCCACCTTCTTCCCTGTTCTTTCCGTCTGCAGCTGCATCGTTTAGGTTTTCTATACCTTAGCCACTGCATGGGGCACCAAAATGTCCAAATTTTGGCCTGCAGACTCCTCAGCACAAAACTACCCAGCAACTCCCTGATGCTCACCATGGGTGATATGAATAAGAAAAGGCACAAATATAAAGATATATTTTTAAGGAATGTAAGAAATGCTTGCTTAAAACAATCATACATACCTTGAGTGCTGTATCTGAGCTTAGAGCCTAAATCAAACAATAAGCTTTGTCACCAAGAAAGAGAATGAGCTGAGGTCTTTCACATTAAGTGCTTAGTTTTAAGTATGGCTCTAAATCCCATACGTTCTCATCCTCAGCCACACACAGACCCATCACCTCAGTCCCTTTAATTAATCTTTTCAAGCCAAGATGCTCGCCATTTCCAGAAGGTTCTACGAGCCCATCTGTATCTCCTTCTTTCACTGTCTCGTGTTCTTCCAGTTTATGTTCTCTGGCACTTACTGTAAATTTAGAAATTGGCTTTGCCTGAGAAGCGCTTGGCTTAAATGACGATGATTAAGCAATGGGTAGCTCGGGAATCTGCCTTAAGCAACACACTAGCTAACTTTAACGGTCACTTTTATCCTGAAGTGACATTTCTTCCTAAGTTTTTTGAAGGTGGAATGATGGGAATAGCACCTGACTTATTCATGCTTTAATGATGAGACACTCTGCAGTCATTTTTGTCCTTCAGCTTCCCTACAGAGAGGCAAGGAGTAAACAGAATGGTTATGTAACCCAATTGAACAAACCTATATTTTTGGAAAGAGACAACTAAGAAGGAGCAAAGCAAACTGAATTCAAGTACAGATTAATATATATTATATTAATAATATAATATTGTTTTAAATCCCACCCTTTCCCACCTCAGTGTCCCCGTGATTTTTGTTGTTTTGTTTTGTTTTGTTTTGTTTTCCCCAAGACCCAAAGCTCTCCTTAAGAAGAAACTTTTCTCACACCCAGAAAGAAGATTCAGTCTTTAGGAGCCCTGTACAACGTCCTCCACCACAGACAGACACACACACATACACCCACACAGACAGACACGCACACGCACATACACCACTTTTTTTTTTTTTTACCTCTTGCATCCCGAGAAGAGTGATGAAGGCACCCAAGGTTCCCTCTCTGAACTCTCCCCATCTTGTGGCAGGGAGAAACTGTCGCACACTTAGCATGATGCACATTCGTATATTACACTGTTTTCACTCCGTTTAAAATATGATGAGGACTGTGTCCTGAAATTCAAGAGCTGTGAGTGCACAGCTCTGAGTCCTGAGCCTTCTAAGGTGAGATATGGAAAGGGAAAGGTTAGGGTATGTTGAGAAACTCGGACATGCACCTGTGTCACATGAAGGAGGGGTCAGAGACGAGAGTACAAGAGTGCATGGAGAACAGAATGAGTTCTAAAACCAGGACAAGGAATTGGAACTCTATCCAATATTTCAAAGCAAAGCAACTGAGGTATTGTGAACACCAAGTAATCTTGAGACCTGTATTCAGCCGAAGCTGATGGGGTTATAATTCCATCTTAGACCATTTGCCTAGCATGTGCTAGGCCCTAGTTCAGTCCCCAGGATTGCAAAGAAACAAACCAACAATTAGTTAATGAGCTCTCTAACTGGATAATTTAACTCATTCACTCATTACTTAAACAGCTATCTAACTGACTTTGGTCGTATAATGGAGCATGGCCTAGGGGAAAGATTAAACTTAGAAGTAAGCATTAGGTTAACCATATCACTAGCTCTCAATGTACTAAATCACCTTCAAGGTAGTCCACACAATATTCTTCATGATTTTGAGATATCCGAGCCTGTACTTGCCATGTTAATAAAGCTTCCTGAGTTATGCCTCCATTGGATTCTTAAAGGAAGGACAAAGAGGGTTTATAGCAAAGACTACCTAAAACACTGAGGAATTATGGAAAATTGTACTTACGACATGAGCTCCTGGTAATTCCAGTCTTCTCTGCTTCTTAGAGGCATTAGGAGATAAGGCATTACCAAGCTTTAAAATATATGACAATGTGTATTTGAAGCCATATTCAGCATAGGCCTTTCTTGGGCTCTGTCAGGAGCTTATACTTTATGTGCCATGGCAAACATATATATTACTTCACTCTGTATTTTTAGTAAGAGGTAAGGGGCGTCAGATCCATTTTATAGATATCCTCAGGTCTCAGCAACCTACCACATTAGCTCATAAGGTTAGCTCTGTTCATGAGAGCCATGTTGTTCTCCACACCCACACCCACTGCCACCCCAGTTCCCCTACAAAAGAATCTTGTTTTTGCAGTTACCTTTCTTTGGATTTTTTTTTCTGCCAAGATATGCACAAAATGGCTCTTTTGAGAGCTTAACTTAAATGTCACCTCCCTCAGGAAGCCTCTCTTACCCAAACATTTGTCTGGTTTTGCTCCCCCCCATTTGTTTTGTTTTGTTTTGTTTTGTTTTGGGGGGATGCTAAGTTGCAAACCCAGGGACCTATGCATGCTGGACAACTGCTCTAAAGCCAGGCCCCCACCCCAGTTTGCTTCCTTTAAAGTGTATTGCCACTTCAAGTCGTACACTTACTTATTTTCTGTCCCTGAATCTAAGACATTAATTTCATGAGATCAGATATTTTATGTGTCACCAACACTTTTGTCTTAGATATTCATGGACTGGGAAGATAATTTCTGGAAAAGTGTTTTTGGGGTACACTCAATAAATACTAATTTGGTGCTTGGGAGGGTGAGTGTTCCAGAGCCCAGGCTGTTTCTGGCCCCATCCTTTCTAAATATTTTCTTTTTGCTGCTTGTTACACAGTAATACAAACCAACAAACCATGTATGGGGGTGTTGAGGCTGACTACTTAAAACTAAGCACTTAATGTGAAAGACCTCAGCTCATTCTCTTTCTTGGTGACAAAGCTTATTGTTTGATTTAGGCTCTAAGCTCAGATACAGCACTCAAGGTATGTATGATTGTTTTAAGCAAGCATTTCTTACATTCCTTAAAAATATATCTTTATATTTGTGCCTTTTCTTATTCATATCAGCCTATTTTTAAAACAGAATATTGGGGTTTAGCATTGTTACTGGCCTGTTTTATTTGTCTGTGTTTAAAAACATCAGCTATTTGAAAATGTATCGTCATCAGACCAATTAGTGAATCTGTATTATCTCCACCAACAAAGCACCAGTCCTTAGAGGCTGAGTTCTTTCATTCTTTTCTCAAGCCACACTGGGGCCAGGGGTGTGAGGGTCACACTGGCTTTTCTAGAAGTGCAATTTTGTACCTTGGTAGAATCTTGTCAATAATCTCCTAATATCCCCTCCCATATACATCCTTAAGTCTAAAAATAACTTGTGTATAGGCATCTAAGTTATAGAGAGTGGCTACAAAGAAGTTTTAAATATTCTTCTCGGTGTTCTCTGAAGGGCCATGCTCTTACCACAGCTAACAAATTTTATCAAAATTTTTGAATGTATCCATATGATTCTAAATGATAGAAGGGAAATAAAAACAAATTCAGAAGCAACCTGCCCTTTGCCATGATCTCTGCATTCTCCAGGGAAACATAGTGTAATGGAAGGAACAGAATAGCTTGGAGAGCAGAATTTTAAAGCATTCTAAGTATCACTGGTTGGTTTAATAAAATTAATTAGCCTGCCACAGAGAAAATTTACTAGTGTGCTGGTTAATTTCACAATGTAAAGCCAGAGAAGGGAGGTAGAGCTGAGAGGACAAACCTTATTAGTTTTGAATAATTATTTAAAGATGTGGACCCGGCCAATTTCAAACACTTTGATAGCCATTTCCATTAAGGCTTTAAAAATCTGTTGCATGTGTATCCAAACATATATGGGAAGGAACCACCACAGACGAAAGCATATTAGCTAGCAGCGAAATGATTCTTTTAAGATACAGAACAAAAGTAGAATCCCAGCAAAAGCACGGGAACAAAACCTTACTGTGATACTGGCTCATGGGAGGTTTCTGTGATCTTAATTTGCTGTTAAAGCTATGATTATTCTTTCTTGTCTTTTTAATCCAAACAAGATGTTTGCGGTGGCCACAGAAAGGTGCCTGAAATCACATGCTTGAATTCATTTAATTTGCCAACATCGTGTCCCCCCCCCCCTTTTTCTTTTCCTTCCTGGTCATGGGCAAGAGTCAATTCTTCTACATTAAGTGCTAAATCTCTTCAATTACCAGCCGGGAAGTAAGATTTAAAATTGTGCTTCAAACCTCCAAACTGATTTAGTTTAAAAGCACAAACACTTCTGTAGTGCCTAAATTAAGCTGCAGAAAGGACTCGAAGCCTGAAGAATTAAATAAGGCAGGGCCAAGGCTCAGGGCAGCCTTAGGGACCATTTTGGATTTGTTTTCATATGAACTCCCCCTGGTATGAAAGGAAGAGGAGCAGAAACAAACAGGCAGGCAGAGCCTGTGCAAAAAGTTCAGGGTTATACTGTGGGGAAGCTGGGCCTGGGCTGAACACTGGTGTTGTGATCAAATCAAGGACCTCGTCTCTCTCTTTTTTCTCTCTCTCTTTCTCTCTTTGACAGCCATATTTAATGTGGATGACTCTGTGGTTGATCTGGAGACCCTGGCGGCCTTATATGAAAATGTGAGTATCAAAGGCATATAGGGCTGGAGGTTTCATCATTACCTTCTACCCTAAATGTCCCCAAGCCATTCCTGTTCTTTGGTAATAAGGATTTGAACCTCAGCATGGCAGAGATTCTCAGGCACAGTTAACTCCCGCTGTAGCGCCTGTCCTGGTAGATCTCACTGACACCAGCAAGGCCACAGACGTGCCCTGGAGCCCAGCCCTAGTGTTTGCTTGACAGAGTAGTGAGCCTCCTGCTTGATGCTGGCATCCTCCAGTGTCTTCCTCTGAGAAATGGAGACCTGAACAGCCTGGGTGATTGCTAGCATACCAGAGGGGCTGATGACATTAAAGGCGAGAGGCAGCACTGGGTGGCAGTTGTGTGCTCTTGCTTTCAAATCAGACAGTCCTAAGCCGGAGGCCTAGCTCTCCCATTGCAGACCGGGCGACCCTGGTTGGGCCAAGTTGTCTAAACAGCTTATCCTGTTTCATTTTGTTGTTACAGTACAATATAGAATATAGTGGGGCTCAACCTGATTTTTTTGTGTTGAACAAGAATTTGATCTGAGTAACTTGTGACTTTTTCTCCTGGAACCTGGCACCTTTCCCACAAAGCTGAGCCCCACAGTTTAGGGACATTGTGAATCACATTTAAGGAACATCACTTCCGTGCACAAGGTCTTTTGATTTTTATTGTAAGTGGAAATAGGGAGCGGAATCCATAGGTTCCTGTGAGGAAAGGATACCGGAGAAGCAGAATTCCCATGACTGTCAGCTGTTCTGGTTCATTGTCAGGATGCTGAAACATAGATGGAACTGGATTCCCTAAACCATGGCAATCCGCAGATAATTGCCTGGGGCCCTGTGACATGCTATGGTCACTCAGCTCACAGGATGATTCAGTTAAATGTTTATGTTCCCTGGGACCTTAAATTTTCATAGTCTAATTAACCCGGTGAGGTCACCAATTCCCTACCTATTTTTACACTCTGCATGTATGTAAGAAACTATTTAGTACCGGGTAGGATCTTTGAACATGTTTCTACCAGCATAGTTCTCAACGAGCAAACCCAAAGGCTCACAAGTATCCGACCACTGGGAGTTAACGGTACATTTGTTGAATACCTGGAGGGCAGTATGAGGATTCCAAATCAGAAACTCATTACTGGTAGCATAGTTGAAGCCTCGGGGAATTACCTGGAAAATGAGGGTATAGTAATTGATAACAAAGAACTCTTATTAAAACAAAGGTGCCTTCCTGATGCTTGCTGCTGTTAACCATGGGTGCAAGGGCGCACACGTGGCCAGTGCTTCTTAACACACTGTAGAGGCGGTCTGCACACAACTGGAAATGTTGGGTGAATTATGAAGCATGCTACCACATGCCTAAATAACTGGTGCAAACAGCACGTACTCATGAAATTCAGGGAAAGGAGAAGTGGCAGCTACAAATGATAGTGTGTGAAGCCTATGTGAGCAAGAAAAGTGTGAGATGGGACTGTTGTCCTGGGCAAGAGAAAGCTAAGGACAGCCTGCCCCACCGCTTGAGTCCAAGACACTCAAACTCAGCAGTGTCTAGATGCACACACTTGTGATGACCGTTTGCTTTAGATGGCAAATGCCAAACTTGAACATGTATCAGAGTAAGCTGGAAGGGTTTCCAGGGGCCCAGCCTGTGGTGTTTCTTATTCCTGGGGTGAGGCCCAAATGATAGCAGTGGGATCACGTACGGGTGGATTCCTGTGGTTTCAGGCTGATCCTCTTGACTGTGTGTGTGTGTGTGTGTGTGTGTGTGTGTGTGTGTGTGTGTGTGTG